TCATCAGTCCCCGAGTTTCCGTTAACCTTATGTTCTACTTGAAACCAAATTGCACGAAATTAGCGGAATACACTCATTTGCAAACCAATTTGGTTTTGCGGGAGAGTCACCTGGAACCCAGCTGATGAGACGCAAGAAGGGCGAAAATGCTGGTGAGGTTGTCGAAGCATTTTCAGTAACATTATGAGTAGTTTATAAAATAGGGTGGTATTATAATAATTTCGCTCAGAAGATTCTGTCCAACCACGTTGACTTAGGATGAACCAGTGAAACTAAGCTGCAGAACCTAGCTTATTGTCTTGCTCGATGGAAGCTCACCTAAGTCATTTGGGATAACCATTGCCAACGGCTTTTTTCCACAGTTTTCGAGGTTTTAGTGGATGGGTTAGCTCCCAAATTTTCCCACTCTATGCATTCATTGAGTGAATCTCCGGGTTTTCTCAATGAACCAGCGCGCAGTTTTGCAGATTTTTCGCTAACACTGTCTCTCGCGAAAGCAATCAAGGACGAACTGAATAATTCGCTTTAAAGTTCTCTATCATCCACTGATTTATCGTCTTGGGCTTTATAGAATTTATGACGAATTGACTGACTTTCCTAAGATTCGTCACGAATAACTGACTAAGATATTCGAATCAGGTTTTTGGGCCACGTGACTGTATTGTTTAAAATAGAGGTACATATTTTTGGTTGTTTCTGTTGCCGTCTCCATAGGACTTCCCTTTTTTACCTGTTTTCCAACTTACTACTACTGTCTGCATGCACTTTTAAAAAATACCCGCTTAACTGAAACCAAATCGATACTAGGCTTGAATATTCTAGGCCAAACAAGTTCCTCTGTGTCACGGTAATTTTGAATAAGTAGATGCTCATATGGTGAGCCACAAATATCGACCAGATCGAAGAATTCAACTGAAGTTCAACACAACTCCGCTCAACGCCTCTTATCTCAACAATGGTTTGCGGCAGGACTCCCTTTCTCATGACCTTGGAACCAGAAATTAAACCATTGACAGACTCCAAATGCTGATCAAGTAACCATGAATGCAGATTCTGTGTGAATAGTACACCAGTTCACCTTCGACCCTTCACCTTTGTACATCGAACCCCGGCTGTCATGAATGATCAATACGGCATCATAGAGTTATCGTCCGGTCGTACTTCACGGGATAACACAAAACCCCGACAAACTCTTCATTGTTAAAAATACCTCGAGGGGGGCATGGAATTTCTCGATTTACCGATGTTTCTATCTGCTGGTTTGCTCATGTCTGTGGAATCACGTGACTTGGCCACACGAACGGTACGTGGAAGATAGCCCAGAAGGTATTCCAACGACGCCGTCTGATTTCATCTGATCTAGGAATATGCATGCGTACAAGATAGGATCCAGGTCAAGAAAAACTGACTGTTGTGTTGTACTAGAACCTGGCGTAAGTAAACGACCAATCCAGACATGTGTCGCACCTTTTACATTGAAAAATTCTCACAGGCTGGCCAATCAATCGGCACAACCAGGACGGTTACTTGGTCGTCATTCGAGGCGTCGTGCAAACGTTCGCCTGTTTGGACGTGAAAATTCAGATGTTGTCCAGCATATGCTGATGGACTAGTGGTAACACGCTCTCAAGATATCCAGAGTTCAAAACCCATGACACTGCCAAGGAAATGCACTACTCGTGAAATCTAAGAACAGCGAAATTCTAGTCCAGTGCTTCCCCCATTTGGTGTGGAAACTAATTATGCTGAGACAGGCGGATGACTGTTCAAACGAGAGTGATGTGAACATGAATTCTACAAATCCCGCAGCCATCTACAACTTTGAAAGGTATCAATCAATCTAGTCGTACGCACTGGTGTCGCGGACGTGACCTCCATCCTGGTCCAGTGAAGTCATCAAACAGGGGAGCTGCTACACATACGCCATGATCCATTTATCCTCAGTGTAATTATTGATTACGGGTTTGTGAAAAATCATTGGTGTTTCCTATAGACCAGTAAGGATCTGCCGGTCCAGGATAGACGAATAACAGTGTCCCATGAATTATGAATTAAGTTTGTTTTTTCAGTTTCTTATACAAAATAAAGTTATTCTATACTGGACAGCCAGAAAGAAATATGCAGTAGTCTCAGCCCCAACACGAGGATACTTGAACGAACGATGCCGTCCGACGCTTAATTCATTTAAGAAAAATAAGAGCACCAGATCCAATACCGGGAATTCAGGGAACGGATTAAGCTGCATTCAAAACCCCACCAAGGGGGTTCATTTATTCATAAAGGAAACTACTCACAAGGTTGCTGAAAACTCTTTGACAGCCCTCGACCTGTTTCACCCTTCTTGTGGCTCATCAGGTAGGTGCAGTCCCCGAGTTTCCACCGTCAACCTTATGTTCTACTTAAACCCAGCACATTCAGTTGTAGAATATTATAAACGAGAGGTTCAGTTGAGTCTGCCGTGAAAACCAAATTGATTTGCAAATGAGTGTGTTTCTCGAAAACAGTCCAATTTGGGTTCAAGTAGTTGAAGGAAACTCGGCGACTGCGTCTATCTGATGAGCCCCAAGAAGGGCAAAATCGGTTGTGGGCTGTCGAAGAGATTTCAGTACACTTGTGAGTAGCTTCGTTTATGAAAATATACTGCGAAATCTCGAATATCGTGCCATCTGAATCATGAGGTGGCCTGTGTGCAGCACATTCAGTTGTAGAATCTCATAAACGAGGGGTTCATCTTTGATTTTTTTCGGTCTGGAACAAGTTTCACAAATTCCTCATCATCGAGTTAGTTTCAGCGACTTCGAAAATATTACAAAAGTGCCTTAAAATACAGGAACTCGCAGGGCTTTCTATTGAAATTTACAAAACACTGGTAAAATATGTTACTTTTTCCGCAGGGAGATCACGTGAAAGACCGAGTAGTTTTGTTAAATATTCAACCACAATACCTATATTACTTTGCTCTTTTGGAGGGAGAAAGTTCCTTACCGTAACTTCCGCTACGCAAAATATGTAGGTACGGTGTCCGGACTGCTCTCATTATCCCACAGTTTGGTCGTCAAATGATACGGAACTTTCGAGCAGTCTGATAACATGTCAGTCCTGGTGAAACAGTTCCCTCGTACTTGGATGAAAACAAGAGGGGCGGTTGGGAAAATACTTTTAGGCTATCCGAAACAATTCATCCAGCCCGTTCACCAGGTTAAATTGAGATGTTCGGTGACGCGTGTATTGTTTGAGCTCACATTCAGTCAGCCACATTCTTAGCTTACAGGGTATTCGTTATAGCCTGTAGTTGTGAGAGCAAACAAGGCTTGGATGAATGCATAATAAGGGGTGACACTGGACAAAGGGCACAACAAGGCTAGATTGAACAATGTCTCAGTGTGCGCAGTAACAAACGATGTATGGGATCGACGATCTACAGACGACTGGAGACCGAAATGGTCAATCTGACGAGTAAAAACTGATCGTGCTCGCTCCAATCATTTAGCCTCAGCTTCCGCGGAAGCTGGTAACTTTGCGGAGGTCACGTTAGCAAAAGCGACAGTTACCGCCAGGATTCGAAAAAATACAGGTATACGAAATTAAAGGACAGAATGACTTATCTCTGGTGCCGTGAGAAGGCCAGAATGGTCATTATTTGATCAAGTGCTACCACCAATAAAATTCTTAAGTTTCAAGCTGGTTATTCGATTATTGGAGGCATTCCTGAAGGTGTATAAATGAGCGCTGATCTCCAGAAAATCCATAGGAGGAAGAGTGCTAAATCGGAGAGGGTCACGGAAAAGGGCGAAATCCTGAGCCACATGTGCGATATCATAACTTTCATAATTATTAGTTTTTGAGCATTCCTTCTCTGCATATACCATCAGAACGTACACAAAGCGTGACCAATTCCGATATATTGCTAAGAATAAATACAAGCTAAAAACAGTCAGTTTTTCGTGTGATGTATTTTGGCACTCCAAGTCACTAACATTCGTTTGCAAGTCCAACAGAACACCGGCTGATCTATCTTGATCCCAGAATCAGTCCTTTCCTTGCATGAACTATTTTCCTTAGCGAGCGAGCCGCCGAGCTTTGTGGTTTAAGCCAAGTGTTCTACCCGTTGGTGATTTGTAGAACATGCTCTGTTAAGTCCCACCAAAACGCACATTCTTGTTCTTTTTGGTGACAGCATGGATTCTCGGTAGCCCATCACAGCGTCAGCTTGTTTTAATTAGAATTGGGTCCGTTTTACCTCATCTAGCAAGACAGAATGGAACGAGTTCACGGCCAACATCTTCACGCATTGGTGATTTTAACGTTATGTATTCGTCCGGCTAACGCTTTGCAAAAAAATCAACTCCCGCGAAGTTGTCTTCAGAGTGATCCTCGTGTGGAGATCTCCGCTCGTAATAGCCTGCACACTCGACTCCTCACTAAAAGTGTCTCCCACAGAGAATGAATTTTGAAATCAACTTTTTAACGAAGGTACAGCAGAGAATCCGCTTGAATCTGCCGGCGTACTCTAGGAGTTGCGCAATAACCGCAGTATGTGAACTCACACTGCTTTATATCGAATGTTCCAGATTTGCTTGCCCTAGTGTTCAGGCTTCAAAGGTACTGTTGCCATTTCCGCTCATTGCCCCACAGTGGTACACTGTTAGCTCACATTTGCACGCCACGTAGGCCAAATTTATCGTTGAAAATATCTTCAGAGTATTAACGAAATACACTCGTTTGCACACCAATTTAGTTTCGATGGAAGAGTCGACTGGGAACCAGCCAGATCTCTTGTTTATGATGTTCCCAAGCACCAGGTCACCTTCAGTTTCAGTTGATACGATATTCGAGATATCACGACACATGTGTAGACGTAATGCACTACTCATAAGGTTGCTGAAAACTTAAGTGTACCTTTACGTCTTCACAGGTGATGTAACAATTCAAGACGGAGGGATAGTGGTAGGAGTTAATTACAGAGCAATCGTGTACTATTTAAACCCGGGGGTTGAAGCAGAAGTCTGCAATATAGTACTTTCCTGGCTCCGCCTTGTACTGCGGTGTTCGGAACGAAAGAAGTGCGCACTTCACCCATATTCACGATATTCTTCATTCAAACCAAAGAATGCAATAACAATCAGTCACGTGAAATTGCATAAAGTACCGAATAATGAAAAATAACCGAAGCGATTGAGTTCATCTTTTGAAGAATGCAGCGTTTCGCCACAGTACTTGTGCTTACCGTGGTTTTACATTCATCTTCGAAAAAAAACTGCACCTGAGAGATGTGACTAGAAGTGTGGAGAATCACCTTGTTAGTTTATAAGCTCTTTTTTCCAAAGCAACAGCGAGATCGTGTGTTTATTTGGCTACTGCAAGAAGCTTTCCAGTGGAGAACCCGGTTCCAGGAATACAGCGGAAAGATCTGGTCGCAATTTTAATGACATTGGAAAAAATATCATGCCTCTGACAACGCAACGATCTGCTAACCAGGTTGGGAAGTAGGTAGGTCTCACCGCAGTGACAACTAAAGCTCCAATGTGAATCTTAGTCAGTGTAGTGTCATCGTTTCCAAAATGCAACACTCGCCTAAAGTAACTGCATTGGGCATACTTTTTTGGTTCACGAATCTGGTGCGAGGAGGTCCCAACCACCATTACAAGAGATGGTTCCAAAAAGAACGGTCTTTTTGTATGAACTACAGTGTCACCAAGTCCAACTGATTTCGGTTTTTGTGCTTCGGAAGATCTTCGGTTTAGCTCGGTGAAATTCACAAGTAACTTACGGTAGAGCTAACAATAGACAAAATAAACAAATAACAGAGTACCTTAAAAGCCTGGGTTTAGCTCAGCTTTTCTGTCCCGTTTAGCAAGACTCTACGGAAGTTCTTATAACCTACTTGCGAGAGGCATTGAAGAGGGTCTTGGTTTTATCCAACCTCGATTGTAAATTAATCACTTTTTCTCCATCGAGATACAACTGTCAGAAGTTTTGAATCCCATGTAGACAGATAATTAGTTCCGTGACACAGGTACGTGCGTGGTGTTCTGCGGAACCTTTTCCAAAAGATCTATAAAGATTGCAGTGGAGCATTTCAAATTAGAAGCCTCTCTTGGTAACCCATCACCTCGTCATTGATTGTCTCTTAAATCTACCTGAGTAGTCGGATCGTTGGACAAGCGAAGAACCCTGGTTTCAATTAACCACTCAACACAATCTAGCGAAAATCTAATGTTACGAACAACAGATATCCGTAATGGGAAACATCCAAAAGTGCCATCACTTACTCGGGTACAATATCTTTCGAAAATCCAAACAAAATTGAAAGTGATCCTCTCTGTGTGGCAATCGCGCGGTACAAAACCAATCACACTGTGACATACGACCCCACGCCTCACCTTGGCCCCAAATCCGTGCCCACTTCAAATTGATTGGGAGATGCAAAAAGGTGATGGGTGTGTGATTTGACGCATTTGACGCACATCGGTGCGGCTACAGCCTGCGCGATAGGGATGTCTGTGCGTGCTCGCCTGTGTGTGTGTGTGTGTTTGTATGTCTATTTTGGCGCGTTTGGGAAATCACACTGGCAGACCGACAAACAAGACAATGAATGCATACAGGCAGGCAGGCTGGCAGTGGCGCTCCAGCAATGGTCGAACGGACCGTCTCAATTCTGGCCTCAGCCAACAACTCCCCCATTGTATCGATGATAGAATTGTGTGTGCACCTCGATGTTTAATCCCCCAGCCGCTGCCAATATTAATCGCGATGGACTTAGTGATACTCCTACCCTCCATCTGTCCAATCACTAGCTAAATTTAGGGACAAAAGAGAGACGAGAGGAGAAAAACCGGGTGGGTTGCGATTTGAGTGACTGCATGGGTTTGAGACAAATAGGGCAGATGGATTTGAACTGTTTTGAAAGAAAAAAACTACCCGACGCTCTTATTACTCTCAGTTGCTTTGGTTTAGTTTCGCATGCTTTTAAGTTGCTTTTTCATCACACGGAAGGGAACGGGAATGTAGCAGCTTCAAAAACATTGCTTAATGGTTAACCACATGATGAAATGCGCTTCCGGTATGAATTTTACCGGTTGGCTGTCAGCCCAGTCCTGATCATGTGTACGCGGGTGGCCTCAGAGGTATGGATCGAAGTAACCCAGTGGTTAGGGTGTGGACTTACTGATCGGTAGGTCCATGGTTCGAGCCCAACCTTGGCACCTCGACTGCTCCTGTATATGCTTGGGCGACCTGGCAGTATCTCTCACCTCGTGTCTCCTGTAGGTTGTAGGTGTTGATGCTCTAACGGAACCCGAAAGCTAGTTAGTTAAACGAGAAAACGGGGAGCACTAACAAAATCAGAATTAGATAAACATGTGATTCTTAGCTAGAAAAGTGCGCACTGAGATTCCGCGTCAGTGCGCCTTACTTTATCTCCATCTAGTTTAAAGACGGACAAATCACACTGAATTTGTTCACCGAAGTGCTAAAAAGGTTTGATCAACGTAAACTTTTTGAATCGTTTCTGTTTCAAACGTTATGTTCTGATATGCGTTGGTTTTTGGGTGATCAGGAAATCGTGAGAGGGACCAGAGGCGGTTAATGGGAAAGGCGATTGGAGGTTGT